TAAATATCCTTATCTCCTTAAATCTTCTACCACTGTCCTACTATTTGCAGCACTACGACACTAGGCAGAGAAAGTGCACCAGAGAATAATACTAGTTTAGATAGGCATTACCACAACCACCTAATCTTACTCTTACCTAGTACAGACCCTTCTTCCATCTTTATCGGTTAAACCTGATAAAGTCTCAGCCTAACCCCTGTAATCCTTGCCCTTGCTCTCCCCACTTACTATTTGTAGCTGAAGTTTCAGGCTGTATAGAATTAAAATCCTACAGTTTTAAGTTACAACTCTGAAGACAATTACTATTTTAAGTAGGAAACAACATAACCTACTACCAGAAAATCTTAGTGGTGAAGCAGGATTAAGTAGAACAAACTGTCTTTTGATGAGTCTCCTAGACACTGAAAAACTCCTATTTACTACTATGGACTCAGACAATTCTATTAACATTGCTTTTGGGAGTTTCAGGGTTGGTTGGTTTGGGTTTTGTTAAACTCAAAAGACACATAGGGTGCGAATTACATGTATCATTTCATATTTGAACAGTTTTAAGGTCTATATTTTGTCATGTACATGCATTTGCAAGCTTCATTTGCACACCAACAGAAATCAACTAAAATATAAATACCTTCAGAAAACCAAATACCACAGAAACGTTGTAAAAAAAAAACATTATTTAAATGCTTTATATTAAATATATATAATATATATATATAAAAAATATATTAAATAAATGTATTATTTAAATCAACAGTTACTCGATTTGCAAATCACCAGGGTCATGTGGTCTCCAAGCAGGCTGAAGGTTAACATGAGCCTTTACTCTTCCACCAAAATGCATTAAACCACATTTTGGAGCAATGTTTCTGCAGCCATCAAGGGAAAAATAAATTTAAGGCCCAAGTGAAGAGCTATTTTGAGTGTATGTCTATATTTATTCCTATAGAAAGTTCCAAATGTCAAAGAACAGTAACAAGCAGCTGGCATACATAAAAGTGGAGCACAACCCAAAATATCTATTACAATTAACACAGTATGTGCTACACTTGTGCAGTAACTACACATTATCATTTGTCATTGACCAGCAATTAAAGTGCTTGAACAACTTGTATATTTTGTTTGTAGAAGTAGCAACGACACAGTCGAAGCTAAACCAATTCAAATTGCCACTTACAAGAAAACTGGATAAAACAGAAAGACAAAAAAAGCAAATTCTCATCAAATAAAGGAAAATATAGCTGAGTAGCAGCTGCCAAAGAATTTACTTAAACAAGGCTGTGCTGATTCAGTATTCAAAAGAGCTATTTCTGCAAAAAAATCTTAAATAGCTCGAGGGGGAATAACCAGGGAAATCAGGAATACTATATACATCCTTTGAGTTAAATAAAAGAAATCAGCATTTTTTTGTCTCCCTGAAGTTCCTAGAAGGAAAACATGAGAGCAAAAACTGTATGTTACACTGATTTGCATTACTGACCATACAAAGAGCAGGGAGACTAACACACATGCGTTTTGTAACACGTTTAAAAGATTTAAGGTTCCTTCCAAGTTAAAAATGACAAGCTAAAACGGTAAGATCTTCTTAACCCACTACTAAAATATAGGTATCGCTTGGAGGTATACACTGAAAACTACTTAATTGTATGAAACAATATTTGGTCAGCATCAAAGAACGGCTTTCGCAAGCCAAATGAGCAGCTCCAAACTACCATCACCTCCAAGACACAGTGGTTCAGTACATTAGCACAAGGGATGGGGAACAGTTATTGACAGGGTATTGGTATTTAAAGCCAGCCAACAATCCCTACTGTCTAAAAATCCAACCCCTCCTCTTTTCCCCCACAGGAGTATGATAAAGTTCCACTTTTCCTGTTTAACTCACCAATAAGGAGATCCCTTCACCGCCCAAAGATAACAGCCATCACCTCGGGGTAGGTGAGTTCTAAGCCCACCCTCCGAGGGCCCCCAGCCCCAACATTGAGTTCCGGGGTTGCCAGCGGCGTGCGCTACCCCCGCCCCAACAACCCCGCAACCGGTACTAGGGCAACGGTGGAACAGAACGGGAAAGGCGGTTAGAGTAGGTCCTGACGTTACGGAGAAGCTCGCCGGTGTCAGCTTGATTATGGCGTCGATCGCCTCAGAGCACACCCGTCCTCTCTCTCCTTTTTTCCCCCCCAACATGGAGGATCCCGCCTTCCAGCCCGCTCCGCCCGGGGAGGGCGTCCTCTCCGCTCCGGCCCAACCACGTTATGAGCTTACGGGGCGGCGGCTCTCAGCGTCCTCCGGGGCCCCCGCATTGAGTCGCCGACCTCCTCTGGAACCGGGCCAGGCCTCCGGCGTGCCCGCGCCCTGCAGCCGCACCGACGGTCCCCCTGAAAACAGGCCGCGCCGCCCGCCGCTGGGGTCCCTGGGGCCGCCCTGACCCGCACCACCCGCCCGCCTCCATTTTATAGTCCGAGCCCAAAGGCGTCCAGGCCGGAGGAGGCGGCCGCCCCTTTGCCGCGACCTCTCCGCCGCAGCGGCGAGCCCCGCTCCCCTTTCTCCTCCCGTCCCGGTGCGTTCTCCGGCTGCTTGCCGCCCTCCTTTCCTCACTCACCGCGGGGAGGGGGTGCGGGGATCTCTCTGCCGCCGCGGGTCTCAGCCGAGCCGAGCCGCCATTTCCTCTTCGCAGCCGCGCCAGAGCGCTGGGCGGGGGCGCTCCTCCCCCGCTACCATAGAGACCGAGAGGGCGACCGACGGCTTGCCTAGAGCGCTTCGCTTTGCGCACGGCTCCCGGAGGACTTCGGTTGGAGGCGGGCCCGCGCGCCCCCTGGCGAACGGGCGGATGGGACGCAGCCCCGCCCGCGCTTCCCGCCGGCCGCGCCCGTGCTCCCCACACGGGAGGCGGGAAGCTCCGGTCACCTCAGGGCTTCCTCCGCAGACCGGTTCTATGGCATCCACAACGCCTGCTCCCGATTCCCATACCTAAAATACGGGGTGATCTTACCTCGCAGAACCCCGGCTGTATTCCTGAGCGAAACTGCACATTAACAGCGCTAAACACCGTTTTGTTCGCAGTGACCTCTCGGAGGAGAAGCACAGCTTCGTGACAGGATTAATATGGCAGAGGAGCCCCTCTCCTGCTTGCAACGAGCTCCTCCGTGCTGCCCACCTGTGCGTGCTCCCTTGGGGTTTGGTTTATTCCTATTTTACCTGTTTTAAAGAATCAAACAGCAATTGCTGCAGTAGTGCTTTCCTCTGCATCCAGGTTATGGAAGTTCAGTGATCAGCTCATCCACCTCATGGAGGTTTTTTCGCTTTTAAAAGGGTCAGGCTACCCAAAAACCTCCAGGATCCAAGCTGCTATACATATCTATAAACAGTTAATTCCCATTTACATGTTTTATTTCTATTGCCATCATTTGTGATATTAACGACCTGCAGTTTACAGTCAGTGAGGGGTTTACGGCAGCACCTATGAGGCCTGACTTGGACACCTGAAGAGCCTTTCAGGCAGCTGGAAGTGAGGGGTTTGGCTTTTTGACTGACCCTTATACTGCACATTTTCCCTCATGGGTTGATAACATTGATTTCAGCTGGCTCCCAGACAGGTACAGTGTTTGCTAAAATGGATTTAAGGAATGAAAACATGAGGAAACACACACACTTTGCATGAATTCTGTGGAATTACAGGATTCCATCAAATAATTTGCATCTTTTAGAAGCCTACATTCTATACAGGTGACTTCTGGTGCTAAAAGCTCAGGATAATGTTGGAAAAGGTACTATTAGCACAGTCAGCCTCTTTCTCCATCTGTGAAACTGGGCAGTATAAATACTTACTTTACATAGGAGCACCAAGAAGTAATCTCCCTGCCCCGCCAATGGATTGCTGTGCAAAAGTACAAGACACAAGCAGAGTTTGATTTTCATTCTGCAGGTACAATAAACGAAAAGCACATGGAAGGGAAATACCTTATGTTTTGGTAGATCAAGCTGCACTGTGATTTATGCCCTGGCAAAAGCTAAAACATGTTGTTAATGGACAAATTTAACATGTAGGGAGTGCTCAAACCCAGGAATTACACACCAAGGGAAAGGGAGCATGCAAAACATGGAATTGCACACCACAAGTGAAAAGGGGATGCCCGCGATAAGGGGATCCAGCAGTGAAACAGGTATTACGTTCCCCTTACATATATTTGGCAAGAGGCTTACACCATCTTAACATAATACTGATTCACTTTGCACACCCAGTGAATACCATCCAAACCACATTACAATTTCAAGACCAAGTCAGAGTTATCTACCTTTGCTGACTAAACACCTGCTAAGGGTACCATTAGCACCTCAAGTTTTTTCCCTTCCCAATATTTTTTCCTGTAAAAGCCTCATTTCCCTTAATTTAGGACGTTTACTCCTGGGTTACTGCCCTGAATCTGCACTGTCCTGGCAGCAAAGCAGAAGTAGCTTTTATTTTGTTTTAGGCCTCCTCACATATAACATGATGATAGTCTAACTGGTTTGAACTGAAAACACTGCTGGGAAATCTTAATAGAGATTAATGACTATCAATCAGCTTCTAAAAAAGTCTAGTAAGCACCTTGTCCGCCTTTCCTTAAACACAGCAAAAGCTTATGCTGAGGCATCAATAACTCCCTCGGCACTAACTTTCCATGAAAGAGATGGTCCCCTTAGATCTGGGTTGTCATTTCTGCTCTCACACACACCTTTCCCTTCACCAAGACAGCAACCGTCTCCAGTTTTTGAAGATGCAAAGCGCTTCAACATAATACTTACTTTAACACTCACCCCTTCTCTCAATTCTTCCTCACTGAATGTTCTGGTGAGCAAATTTCAGCAGCCAGGTAAAAACTAGAGACAGAGGTAGCCCATGAAAAGAGTAGGAAGAGGGAAACAAATGAGCAAGTTCTCTCCATCTCTGGTATTTTTAACAGATACTTGATCATTTTAGGTCAGAAGAGACCGATTTCTGTTGGTTGTGCCTCAGTTCTACCTCCTTCTTTATGGAAAAAGGCCTCCATCCCTGGAGTTCAGCACAGCACTCAAAACAGATATGTCAGATGTCAAAGTAGTGTACGTTCTGGGTCCTTGATTCTCCAAGGCTCCTGATATTTCATTTGTTGCAAAGACTGAATGAACACAGAGAAACACCTTACTGAGGGTTAATATTATTCACAGAAATAAAGCAATGCCCTGTCATCAGACAGAAACTTGCAGATATTTTTTACCTCCAGTTCCAGGTAAACTCCATCCCCTCCCCCCCCCCCGTGCCTTTTTCTGCAGGGATTTTTGTGAGTGCTCCAGGAATTACTGATCTTGGGTTGGAATTCACTCAACTCCAAATACCAGTCATCAAAATGGCATTCTGAGATTAGGGTTTGTCAAACCCTAACTCATGTAAAAAAATCTAGAAATTGTGCTGAATTACAGTAGTTACTTTTCTTTTCATCTCGATTTTGTAGTCTTTCATCTCGATTTTGTAGTCTTACCCAAAAATTCCACTTTTCATGTTATACCTGCCCTCATTACCGTAAGATTCTTATAAGATTGTGGCATATTGAAACCATAGGATAATTTCCTGAGAACAAAGTAGTTTATTTCCAGACATTTTAATCTAACTTTGTACTCAGAAGTATCCTGCAAGGTTTTCCCCAAGTAATAAAAGACAGGTTTGGTTCCAAATCTGGGGAGAATGTGAGGGGTTTTTAACAGAATCAGGTGCTAGTGCTAGGAAAAGAGGGAATAATGTAGGAATTGCTGCAAGCTTTGTATCTTCCTACTCCCTTCTTAATTTTGTAAATCTTAACAAAGAAAAGCCATGCAAGATTGGTATTTCCAAATCCTTAAGTATTCCAAGTTATGAAGCAGAGGGAATAAAAGCATTCATCTACATTAAAGACAGCCATGGGTATTATACATGGAATGATCAAACATTTATTCAGTGAGATACAAGTTAAAGAGGGAAATACAGAAGGTCACAAGGCAGCTTTCTATCAGGGGTTGTGTAAATGTGTCATTTATTACTCAAGAATACTGCTCAGTCCCCCAAACATGCAGAGATTTCATTACACCCAGAGCATTAGCAGAGAAACAAAAGGCCTGTATCAAGATAAAGGCATAACAGCTCTATAAGGTTTTTTAATATACTGAGGATTTTATCACATTGGGCTAATGATGCCATCAAAAAAAGGTGTCACTACCAGTAGTACTATTTAGCAGTATTTAACTGCATAAAAACAATTCATGCATTAGAAAGTCACTTTGTTTTCAGACTCAGTAAGAAAACACTACTATAGTAACACGGAATGTGGTTGTTGCAACTGAAGTTGTTTTAACTCCTTTTCTCTCAAATGAAAGGCCAGTTTCCAAAATTTGATGTTAACAGAAACATCAAAAAACTAGGGACAGCATATTAAAGGAAGAGAATGCATCTGGCCACCATATTCTGCTCAGAAACACTGCAAACTTCTTTTTGTTAACATTATGGTCAGAAGAAATGCCAACTCCTACAAATATAAGGAAAATCCCAAACAACAAACTGTACTTCATGACAAGCAAGCCCACAACTCAGGAGCTGCTTTCAGCCCATTCTTACTCTTTGTTAGCTCAGGAAGAACAAAGGAGGAAAAGGAAACCTCTGTTGCAGTTGGTTGGACTTCTCAGCTTCTGGAAAACCATGTACCAGCACCTCACAGTCAAGCATGAAACCAAACAGCAGCTCACACATTTTTACCTTACTTATTCATTACATTACTCTACTTACTAGAAAACAATGATACCTATTTGTTACCTGTAAACAGCAATCGTGGCTATGAACTACGCTCTGTTGCCTCCTCTCTTGTTAGGGGTATGTCTCCCTCTATTGACAAGTCAGGAACCCCTCCTGGAGAAGGGCACCTTTACCCTCTCTCCCTCTTTATGGAAGTCTCGTGAGAAACTCCACCTTTTAGGGAGGAGCTAACAAGAACCAAACTAAGGCAAAGCCAGCTTTGCAAGCCCACTGGTTTATATTTCCCAACAAGTCAAATTAATTGAGATTAGCTTTTAGGGTAAAGCCTGAGGAAGAGCCCTCTCCAATCAACAGGGATACTTGCCAGCTGTAGTGTGCTTTGTCACAGCTAATAGCATCTGTTACTAAATATTTGAAGTCCTTTGACCACCATTTTGTGTTGTTTATAAACTTGGTGCTTTGCTTGGGGAGGTAAGTTAAAATAATAAAGTCATTTCATTGCGGATTTTCTTGGTTTCAATCTAAGAACAACTGTAATCAAAGTGAGTTTGACTGGCTTTGTTTTGGTTGTGCTTTATTGGGCAGTTACAAAAACAAGAGTGGAAAATGAGTGAAAAGGGCAAAGCTGAAGCATAGCTAATAGAAATGAGTTTCTGATTTAAAATTATCTGTAAGTGAAATTACATTTTTATGAGCAGTTTCATTTGCAAAATAAAAGTTGTACGTCTTCTGCCCACTGTCCATGTTAACACACAAACCGAGGTGCATTCTTGTTTGCTGTGGAGTGCTTTGAGTCACAAACCCCACTGGGTTTAACCATAGTCAGTTTATTAACTCTCCTCGGCAGCCAAGACAAATTCTGTCAGAGATCACAAACCACAGCCCTCAGTTCATATCGATGTGGAAACCGGTGGAACTTTACTAGCCGTGACTTGCAGCAGACTCTCCTCCGTTCCCACTATCGTGACAGGGCCAACTCTGTCACAGCAGCCCCAGCTCAAATGGCCAGCCCTTGCCAAGGAAGGCTCTAGAACAACTGTTTTGGTCCTGAGGACCCTGCTGTGTCCGTGTAGGTGCTCACACAGGCTGCCGGTGCACCGAAGCAGGGACCAAACCAACGAAAGCATCAATTTCTGCCTCGGTTGTTACTGCCGGTTGTCGTCCCCCTCCCACCGAGGGCCATTATTAACGTGCCAGGCAGGGACGTGATCCACCGAGCAGTCGTGGGAGCTCCTGCTGAAGGTGGTCGTGACCGCAAGTGGAAGCAGCACAGGCCCGGCCCAGCCGCCTGCCCTGCGGCCGCGAGGGATGGTGGGTAAGGAACGAGACCTGGCCCTCTCCCCCGCTGCGCGCATCGGCCTCCAGTGACCGCGATCCCGCGGGCTAGCGCTGCCGCAGGGCTGCGCCTGAGCGGCACAGCACCCCTCCTGCTGCCATCCTGCTGCCATCCTGCAGCAGGACCGGACACATCCCACCCCGGCCTCCGCGGCTCTGACGCGCCGCCACCGCTGCGCCGTCTCTATGGTACCCCCGGCGGGGTGGCTCCACACGGACGGGTGTACAATCCCTCCCGCGGGCCGCCTCTATGGTTACATCTTCTTGCTGATTGGCCGAGAGGACGGCTCTCGCGAGATCCGCGCCAGCGGCCTGGCGGAGGTGCTGGAGGCCCCGTGTTTGTGCGTCGGAGCCGGCACCGCGGCGCGCTCGGTAAGATGGCGCCGGGCGGTCCGCGCCTGCCCTCGGGGGGACGGGGGCTGCCGGGGCCCTTCCCGTGGCCCCGCGGTTCAAACCGCTGCCGCCTGCTGCGGGTGGTGGGGAAGCGCTGGGCCTGTGGCGAGCGCGGCCGAGCGCTTCGGTGTCACGGGCCCCGTGGAGGGCCAGCGGCTCGGCGGGCCGGGGGTTGCGAGGCGGCGGAGGAAGGTCGGGGTCCCCCAGCGGGTGAACGTCCCTTGTGTTTCGGGTCGCCACAGCCCGTTGTGGCGGGAGCCCAGTTCCCCGCCGCGTGGGTTGGGTTGGGAGCGGTGTGAATGCGGAGCCGGGGCCCGATCGGCTCCTCGGCGGGCCCCGGGTTGATGGGGCCTCCAGCCGGCCGGTTCACCCGGGCGCGGTGGGGGTTTGGCGGTAGTTGAGAGAAGGAAGAACCTGTTGGAAGCGGCTGGTGATGGGAAGGCGCGCTGCCGCTCGTGTTTGCCTGCGAGGGGTGGCGGTGCCTGTTGCTGTTGTTGTTGCCGCCTCTCCTCCCCTTTCGCTGCCCCGTGATCGTGACTTGGCGGTAGCAGTGGTTAAATACCGGGTTTAGCAAAGCGCTTTGCTTACCAATCGGGTAATAAATGTCTAGAGAAATACTGTGAGATAACATTTTAATAGTACCATTGACAGGAGCACTTTTGGGGACAGCAAAGCTAAGCGTAAGTCTTTAGTTGTACATTGGGTAATGTAGTGTGTAGTTTTGTAGCTGTACAAAGTATGGAGCTGCCCAGACTAAGTTTTGGGGAACACTTCAAAGCAAATCCTGCATACATAGGCTTTGCTTTAGAAGTTTGCTACGCTTTTTTTCTGGCTAGCTGTCAAACTCTTTGATTAACTTTTTCACACAGTGGTGTGTGTCCTGTATGAATTCCAACCAAGGTTTAGTTGGAATAAGCAAAAGAAGATGGTATTTGAATGTTTTATTCTGATGACTGATGAAAGCAGCTTTAGAGACTGGCTGGTAGATGTGAAGGTGTGCAGGAACGAGGAGGAGGAACATATAAAATTGTGGTTTGAGATAAAAGGCTCTCATTTGGTTTATTAGTTTAGAAGATCTCATTAAAAAGATACAAAGATGGTAGTAACACGGTGCTTACACACATTAAACTCACTGCTGCTTAAATTCTGTTAAATGAGATGCTTTTCTTTTCTTGTAGTAAGAGTCCAGGATGAGTTATACAGAAAAACCTGATGAAATCACAAAAGATGAATGGATGGAAAAACTTAATAACTTGCATATCCAGAGAGCAGACATGAACCGCCTTATCATGAACTACCTTGTTACAGGTAACAGTGAGTAGTGATGCTTAGGAGGCTCTTGAACAAATGTCACTTACTTTCTCAAGGCAGTTTTGGCTGGAATGTACCACTCAATTGAGTGAAATCAAGAGCTTTGAGGACTTGGTGATTGCTGTTGGCTGCTCTTAGAAATGTACAACTGCTCTTGTGTAAACTGACCAAGATTTAGGTTCTGAGCCGTTACCATGTAATAGAAGTAACATTCATAAACCTTAACTCCTCTGCTAAAAGATATAGAAAAGAGTGTTTTCTGGAATGCTGTAAAGAAACACAACCTGGTTTTGTATGATGTCCTTTTTTTGTGCCTTCAAACAGACTTCAAGGTTTGTTGCATTTGTTAAATAACACTCTGAAAGCTGTACAGAGCTATCAGAAACAAGTTTTAACTGGCTGGGAAGATAAACTCTTAAAAGGGCACTGTTGACAAAACAGCTTGAGACCAGAAATATTAACCCCTACAGCACATTGCCTAGCTTTATACTTAGAACAATCAAAACTCCTCGGAAATTGTCCTTAGCAATTATGATACATACCAGGAGACTAAGCTGTTGCCTGGGTGGAGGCATTTGTGTCCCATCTACACCCTGTTTACACTGGTGTGTAGGTAAAGCCTCTGGTTTGAAGGAAGAGCATCTCAGTGGGTGGTATAAATCATTTTTGTGTATATGAAAACATGACTTTGCATGTGAAATAGCTGTTCTAACTTTTAAAAAGTATAGTTACAGTACTTGTGTAGTACTTTATAGTATAAGAAAGCAGTGTTCTGCTGTTAATACTGCTAGGGCTGTAGAAACAGATTTGGGGGCTGGAGGGTGAAGCAAAAGTGCCCAAATCTTGGAAATCCCACTTTGGAATAAGCACATTGCTCTAAGTATAAAGCAGACTTTCAAGTTAAGAGGTGTGGGATTACAAGTTGCATGCATCTTTAGAGAAGGCACATGAATTAAGAATGAATTATGTCCTGTTAGATGTCTGTTGGATGAATGCTTATTTAAATAGAGAAGAATTTAGTAGCAGTTTGGATTTAATCTTTAAAAACCCCAAATGAACAAGCAGTACTCAAGTCTCTTCATTTAAACTGATACTTAAGTGTTGAAGGAAATGTGTTTTATAGGTAAAATGTTTCTATTTCAGAGGGCTTTAAAGAAGCAGCAGAGAAATTTCGAATGGAGTCGGGAATTGAACCCAGTGTTGATTTAGAAACTCTGGATGAAAGAATAAAGATTCGAGAAATGATATTGAAGGGACAGATCCAAGAAGCCATTGCATTAATAAACAGCCTCCATCCAGAATTGCTAGATACAAACAGATATCTTTACTTTCATTTGCAGGTAAGGACAAGTGGCAAACTTTGTTTTAGAGTTTGTTGAGAGCAGTGCAGACTTTAGCAGCGTGTTGGGAGGTTTGTGTGACAGAACATAGATGCAGTTTCAAGTGTTTGTTCTTGGCATGGTTCTGTAGCGATAGGAGACTTTGTGGCATGGTGCAGGAACTATTATATACAATTAGCAACATGAAAACTTACAACAGTAGCTATGGTCTGTGGCTTAACCAACTTCAGTTACTGTTAGCTTGAATTTTAGTAGCTCTACTTTGCAACAACTGAAAAAGCAGTGTGTTATCAATATTATTCTCAGACTAAAACCAAAACACAGCCCTGTACCAGCTGCTAAAATGAAAATTAACTCTATTCCAACTGAAATCAGGGCATTTGAGTAATGCTTCTTTTCAAAACATGTTATTCAGAAGCATCAGGTTGCCTTTTTGAGCAGATTTTTGAGACATGTCTGCTGCTTTTCTCGCACATTAAGAACAACTGACCTCAAACTATTAAAGTATGGATTAGTGTTTGCCTCCAGTTTCGCACTAGTGTCTGAATATTACAGCCTTGACATAATGAAGATTTAATTTCTTTAGCTAATATTGCTGTATCTTCCTTATGTAGCAGCAGCATTTGATTGAGCTGATTCGGCAGCGTGAGACAGAAGCAGCTCTGGAATTTGCTCAGACCCAATTAGCAGAGCAAGGGGAGGAGAGCAGGGAATGCCTGACAGAAATGGAGCGCACGCTGGCTTTGCTTGCCTTTGATAATCCTGAAGAATCACCATTTGGAGACTTGCTTAACATGATGCAGCGACAGAAGGTAGTCCTTTTGCAAAAGGAAATCAATGTCTTTTATTAATGTGTGATGAAAATAATGTCCAGATATTGTTGATATATTTAGAAAAATAATGTATCTAATGGTTACAAAAGAACAGAAGTATTTCTTAAGCAAGATTCAAAAAACATGAAGTGTTCAACTACTTGGCTCTCTTGTTTTCTCCACGCTCATAGTCTGAGGAGCTTTGTCCTGAGGAATTAGCACACTAGGTGTGATCTTTGCAATGTCTTTGTGACATTAGCAGTGTTAATCATACAAAGGCTGTTACTGAACTCCAGTATTTCTTTTCCAGGTATGGAGTGAGGTTAATCAAGCTGTTCTAGACTATGAAAATCGTGAATCAACACCCAAGTTGGCAAAATTGCTGAAACTACTACTGTGGGCTCAGAATGAGCTGGACCAGAAGAAAGTGAAATACCCCAAAATGACAGACCTCAGCAAGGGGACGATTGAAGAACCCAAGTAAAACGTGTGCAGATGGACATCAAACAATCCTAGTACTGCACAGTATACATTTATATCAGTCTGTGACTGAAATATTTTTACTACAGTACAGCACTCAATTCAGATTTTTCAATGAACATCGAATTTGAAGGGAGAAAAGTCCCTTTTAAATGCTGCAAAAACTGCATTGAAAGGCGCTGTATCTCTTTGAAAGTCTGACTTAGGCTATGCACTATAATACCTTTTTAAAAACCAAGTGAACAGGACAGGAACAAGAGCATTTTTAGAAGTACAGAACTCAAAACTTTCTAATTGGCTACTGATGCCTAGTTTAGTGGCCAGCGAGTTAACACGGTGTTATATTGGCAACTATTCAGTTCAGTTTAACTGTTTCCTGTTTGAAATGTGTATATAGAACAGTGAATATTTTCTACCTTTAAGTTATAGACAGATACACATTCCCCTTCAAAGTAACTGGTCAAGTTTTCATCTATAAACTTTGCAGTAAGGTCAATGTTTTGCTTAGGAAATAGTGTACAAACTTGTAAATCATAATTTAAGGAATTATTTTGTTTTTGTTTTCCTTGTTTCTGACTTTTCTGGTGCTTTATATGGTGAGAGCTGTATTCATAATGGATCAGTGACCCATCTTTTCAGGAGGAGTATTGTTGGAAAGAAGTTTCTTTTCCTTCATTTTCACTAATGACCAAAATGGCCCCCAGAGGCATTAGTGGGTTTTTCTTAACAGGGCCCTTTCCCCACTACATTCACTTTGCAGCTGTGGACACTGCACTGATTCCAGCAGGCTACAAAAGCTTTGAAGGCTGCTGGATGTTTGTAAGCTCAAAGACATCTTGTGTTAGGAAATCCGGTGGAGGGGAGGGGTGCTTGTTGAAGCCTCTGATGCATCATCTTGTGCAGGATCTGCCTTTGTGCTTGCTGAGTAAGAATCGTAGTTTTAGAGCTACTTGGGCTGGTTTTGCCTTGAGCTGAGCAGAGCCGGGCTGTCTAAAACCAGAAATTTCCTTGTTTCTTTTTCAATTCTTCCATACCTTTCTGAAGAGATGCAGTTCGTCTTCACCTGTATTTGTTTAATGACTGTCCTCACTCCACTTAGGATTATAGTTTTAATGTTTTACATGTGAAGTCCAGACTTTCAAGTCAACAAATTGTAATCTTCTGGGTATGGGATGCTCTGGTCGACTTAGTTTTGCAGCACTGGGGTATGTCCAGTGGTAGTAAGCACTAATCTTGCCAAATCAATCTCTAGGTTTTTAGGTCTGTATATCAAGTTATTACAGATTCAGTTAAACAAAGACTAAACTGGTGGGTGAAATAGCTTAACATCATGGAACGCAGGCAGTTGTCACACCGGTCCCATACTGTACATAATCTAGTCTTGTATGGTAGATATTACCCTGTAGAAATGAAACTTAGTTTTCACTTAATTTTACTGGAATACTTACGCATTAAACTGTATAAAGCTTTGCAGATACACCTGATTTAACGGGATCTAACAAAACCTGTTACTGATTGCATTACTGTGAACACTGTTTACTTGTGGAGCTATTTTCTGGGTGGGGGGGGAAGCCGTTGTTTGTTAAGCAGCTATTAGAGTTTTGGAGCGCCAAGGTTAAGCTAGATGGTGGATATAACAAAATTACTTGTTCCCGTTTCTTCCTGATCATTCTGTTCTCCACTTTGAGGCATTTGTGGTATGGAGATCTTCAAGTTTATACAGAAGAAGCTGACAGTAGCCCCCCAACTACAACAGCCTTCACCCAGGCTGGTTATTCTAACACCAGACTTTTAACAGTTGTGGGTTTGTTTTGTTTGTTGGGTTTTTTATTTTTTCCCTTCTTTTTTTTTTTTTTTTTAATTTTACTTTATTTTCTTAAGTTTATTTTCTTCTTTTTTTCCTTTTTTCAAGTCGGTTGATGTCTGAAAACCATGTGTGACTTTTAGTTTGTGAGAAACTGTATGGTTTAATATAACTTTGTTTAATAACAAACCGCAGAAACAAAACTGGAATAGCTCTTAATTTCTTTGTATAGAACTGATCAGCTTTTCCTCTGTTCCGACACGGGGGGTGGTGGTAAATGTCATCTAAAGCTTGTCCTGGTTGAAGTGGAAAGTGGAGCATTTTTGTGGCATTTTTCTCCATGAGAAATGCAGTATTAGAGTCCTGGTTGAGAAGTTCACTGTACTTCTAGAACGCTGCATTAATTTCTTACAGTCTTTGGACACAGATTGAGCATAGATTACTTGAATTCTCACTAGCTTGTGGTGTTGGGTTTGGGTTTGGGTTTTTTTCCCATTATAAAAGGCACCTGTTTTTTAAGGGGTTTACTATCAAATTAGCATAGAACTATTTCCCTTTGTTTTTATGAACATGCCACATTGATAAGCAGCTTTAATCTGTAAAGTTTTTGGTAACTGCAAGAAAATATTCGAAAGCTATGCATTTTAGAGAAAGCATAAAGGTAGTGATATTGGTACTTCTAAGGATCTTTATATTAGTGTATATAAAATAGTTTGCATATACAAATATAATATATAATCTGTTTGAAATATTCTTGAATGGTAGGGGCTGTGAAACATTATAATTTATGGAAATATTGTACACAGTAAACAGACGTCTCAGTACACGAATGAACTTTTGTCATATGCATGAGAAGTGTCTTCTTTGGTGACTACTAATGAATGGGATTTTGCTAACCCATTTTTGTTAGATAACCACTTTAACAAATACTATTAAACACCACTTGGATCCGTTTGCTTTAGTGTAAAAAAAGTACATCTTTTGTTCCACTTAATTTAGATCAACATGAGAATAACTTTTATAAGAGGGTTTGTTCCAGACTCAACAGTGGCAAACCTGGTAATGAAACATTGTACACTACAGTCATTCCTCCCTCTCCTCAATCTTTCTCTTGTTGAAAGCAAATATGATTTCTTTCATTAAGACACAAAAACAGTTGGGTTGTAAAATACCCTGTCTTAAATGCCACTGTAGAAAGGCTCTGTGTCCAGTGTGGTTTAGGCTCCAAATCTCTGTTTGCAAAACCTATCACCTCCTTAATAACGGTCATCTTTGCTGTTGCTATGTCTTGTTCTGCCTGTCAAATCTAAGCTAAACCGTGGCTGCTCCTGTTGTACAATGGAGTCATTAGTGAAGGGGGGGGATATAATAGGTTTCCATGAAGATTGGTCATACTTTCTGAGAAGTACTTACCAAACTCTTTAATTTTATATAGCTGGAAAACAGAGGCTGCTGCACAGAAGCTATCAGCATTTTAAGTAAAGCATTTCTTCTCAAGACTTTTGAAGAGGCAAACATATACTGCTTGAAACCAGGTGAAGTACCGCTCTCTCTGTAAGGTGATTTCATTGAATCACTTTCAGCTTCTTCCACCCGCACTAAAAGAAAAATTGAAATGAATGTGGAGAGCACTTATGTAGCATTTAAGATGTGTGAAATTACCTGGAAAGAACTCTGTCTCCTTTCCTCTCCTTGTACATATAGGGGAAGCCATTACATTATTCTAGGATGGTTTTACTGGTTTTAATTTGTAAACTTTGCTTTGTATGCTTGAGTATAAGCTTAAAAGCATTACTTCAAAAGAATCCTTGACTAGTAGATGAGTGTTGCTCAACTTATTTCAAACCACTTTCTGTCCAAGTTTGTTAAGAAGCTTATTAAATTGAGTTGGAGTGTGATCCTGTGTGTGTTATCTTCACGGGTAACAGGGCCTCCTGCTGTCAGCCACAGCTGAAAGCATCCTGGAGGTGCTTACCTCAAAAAATAGAGAAGGATATGGAGTCATATGTTGCCATAAATCTACCTTTAGCAAGTTGAGTTGGGCTCTGGCCTGCTCTGCAGGTGTCTCTTCCATCCGGAAGTGCTGTAACTGGTCAGTATCTGCTCGTACTGTCATGTTCTTGATGAAAAGGGACAAGTTGGGTCTGTGGCTGTTGTGTGAGCAACAGTGTCCCCAGCCGTGCTCGATGTTCCTAGTCCAGTTATCAGCTCACTGCTTCGAGTGCTCAGCTGAGCAGGGACAAAACACAAAAGCTGATGAACAGCACCCTCCAAAGGATTTGTGCTTCTCAATGGATGTGTTGAGGTGCTAGAAGTGATTTTTTATTCATTTCCTATCCCCTCCTGCCTTCATATGATAAAATTGAGGGTGAGATCACCCAAACTACCTCTTCTGGGGGGCACATTGATGTATTCATCAAATGGGGATTCCAGCAACATGCTGCTATTTCTCACCCACTTGGGGGAACTCCTGCGTGGGAGCTGCTGTTTATTTAAAAGCAGTCTCCATTTGTGAACCTCTGATCATTTGCTTGTTTTCAGCATATAGTTGTCTGCAGTGATTTTGCAAGGTTGTGTTATTTAGTACTAGAAACCACACTTGTTTTCTTCAGACTGAACAAGTCACATTGAAACTGCTCTTGGTTAGCAGGAGGCTTTCAGGCTGCACTTGGACTGGCCTTTCAGGAGACAGTTGACTCTTCGGGAACCCGTGAGCCTCTTTCTCCTTTCACACTCCTTCAGGATTTGGTCTTGAGGTGTGCTTCATAAAATCTTCAACTATTATGTGGATAAGCTCCAGTGATAATTCAGCTCATATATTAACCCAATAATCTTTTTGTGTGGTTGAATCTTCATACAGATTAAGTTGAACACAGGAAAAATGGTAGGAGATTGTGCTCTTGCACCTGTCTTCTGAACTAATTCCATTTCCCATTTAATTGGCTCAGTGGGAGGTTTGCTTCCAGAAAATGATGCAATCTGTGGTTTTATTTCTTATTTATGTGCATGCAAGAGATGCTACACTCAAATGCTTTTTTTAGCTGCAGCTATTTTGGACAGTAAAACTTGCTGCTGATGTGAGATGCAAATTAGTTAAAGCAGCTGTTAACTGGGGAGGTGATACTGAATGGTACAGGGAGAGGAACTGAAGAGTACAATAGCTAAAGAAAGCTGCACTGTGCTTGATTTCCAAACTGCATCCTTATTTTGGTAAGTTAGCAGCTGCTGTTGTGTCTTGCATCCCACAGCAGTGAGACTTAGCGTAGTAGTAACTCATGCAGGGGTTCGAGTTAGTAAGTTGTCTGTAGATGTGATTACTGTCCCATGCCCAAGACTTCTTTAGTTCGTTTCTGAGTTTATGACATGCATTTCACTTGTGTAGTTACATCAGGACTCAGGTCCCCTCCTGCCTTGAATTAACTCCAAGCATACACACTGTTTAAAACCCCCCACGTTGAACAATGCCTTTGATTTTTGGCTGCGTTTTCCCATGCCTTGGCTCCCTCTTCTGGAAACGGGCACAGTAGCAGAGTGAATAAAAATACTTTATAGTTTCCAGTTTCCTGTCCAAATAAAGGGCGGAAAGCTTACTACTGGATGGAGGTTAAGCCCTGTGGTTACTACACATGGTTCCTCTCAGTTTCCACTTGTAGCAAAGCTTGTATTGCTTTTCTCAGCTGGCAGCAGGTCTGTGTGACTGTGCCAAGGGCATTTTGGGGTAGATCTCTCTGAGGAAGAAATGCTGAAGCAAAGGGCAAAGTATGATTCTTGCTTTGGTCAGCCCTGGCAGCCTTCTTCTGGAGTTCTCTATGGGGCATAAGGAACCTCTTTGCTATTTGACTCCCTGAAGTTCAACTCGGTAATGCAGTTACCCCTCTTGATTTAAGTAGCTGACTGCTAGGGACCTGCAAGGTATTCATGTTAGAAGAAGAATGAGTGAGTTAGGTAAACATCAGTCTGCTAAAGGCTTGATTTCAGTGAGCATTTACAGGAGCAGAGGGGAGATGCCTGCCCTGCACCTGCATCCTGTACCTGGTGCAGTTTGGTACCCAGACGCTGGCGCCTTCCCCAGGGTTGTGTATGACCTTGGTGAGCCTGGGCAGAAGCTCCTCGGTCCTTTGCTGACCTCAGGTTTTGTTGTGTCTGCATCCATGCTGCTGCCAGCCACAGAATCACCTGGATGATTTTGTAATGCTCTTCTGCTGGCTCCCTTGATATTCCTGAAATGAGTCATGAGTCCTCTTATTTTGACTGAAATAACCACCGTTTTAATGATCTATTTTGAGTTTCTTGCACACTTGTCTAGTGGAAGATGTGGATCGGTTGGAATTAGATGATTTAAGGTCCCTTCCAACCCACACCAGTCTGAGATTCTATTTCTGTAACTGACTCTGGTCCTTTCTTTCAGTTACATCATGACCTCAGCCCTATGCAACAGAGTTAAATCAAGCTGTAACAACACCGATTCCTCTTTATTCATTAAATTCTTTAGATAGGAATATAATGTTCAATTCTAATCCTGAAAAAGCAGAGCGAGACTCTTCTGCTCGCAAACCCATGGAAGCTGGAGGCGCAGGGGCTCCGCAAGTGTTGCGGTCTCTGCTATCAGGTGAGGAGGGACACGGTTCAGCCCCTCTCGTAACCCCGTTTGGTTTTGCCGATGGGGGGGGTCAGTATTTACCGAAGGAAAAGGGGAAAGAGCTAAAACCCCGCAGTTCTGTGGGTGCCGGATGGAGACCACGACCCCGCCGGGGGCCGCGGGTTCGACACCGCCCCGGGACCGGCACCGGGGACAGGGACCGGGACCCGCCCGCTGCGGGACTTCCCGGAACGGGGCGGCGGGAGGCGCTGACACGTGGCCGCGGCCCGGCAGGGGGAGGGAGCCGGCGGCCGCCGCGATGTGAGCGGAGCCGAGGCGGAAGGCGCTGCCCGCATGGCCGCGGGTGGCGGCGGCAGGAAGGTGCCGGTGAGCAGCGCCGAGCACGGCGGCGTGAGGAGGGATGGCGGCGGGGACCCGCACTGGTCCAGGTAAGGCTGGACCCTGCTTCCCCGCTCGCAGCGCTCTCCCGGGACACCCCCCACAGCATCCCTCGGTCCCTCGCCACCGCCTGATGCAGCTCCAGGGAAAGATGCAGCTTCGGGATGGAGGGGGTCGGGAAGCCTGAGGCGGGGTCGGGAGCGCCCGGTGTTCCGCGTCGGGACCGCGGCCGGGATGCGGCCGGTCCAAGCCCGCATCGCCCCGGTGCTGTCCCCCCCCCAGCGGGTGCAGGAGGATGGGACCGGGGTACGCGGCCTCACCACCCCGGGCAGTCCCCGCTGCTTCGCTTTGCCGGCTCCAATGGAGATGGTAGAGGAAAAGGTGAAGCTCTGAGATTAGTGTGAAACAAGAGGGGGAAAAGCCTTTTGAGCTTATTTCTGGCCTGCAGTCATAGTGCTGAGACCACTGAGAGGTTCTTATCGAAGTGTTGCAGCAGGGATGCTTGTGCTGGTGATGATAATTACTTAAGGTAAAGTCTGGAATAGTTGCTGGGCAGCAGCACGAACCGTTCTTGAAGTTAAGTAATTAAAACACTTAAAACATTATTAAGCCCAAACTGAGCACTTTTAACAGTCAGGGGATAAGCAAACGGGCCAGGTTGGATGGGGCTTTGAGCAACATGGTCCAGTGGAAGGTGGAACACCAAGGGAGGAATTGCCCTTTCCAACAACAACAGGCAGCCACTGGATAAATCGAGGTTTATCATCAGTCGCTTCCTGCAGGGGCAGCAGGATGATGGCTGCTTTAAACTTCCATCCCCAGGGGGACTTTTCCAGCAGTCAGAGCCCTGAAACTCCAATCAAACCCATGCTTATCTCACCTAAAAGGTCTCAAAAGCAGACTTTTGGTGCTGGGGTTGCTTAAAATTGGAAGACTCTTTTCCCCAGAAGCACTTAGGAATATTCCTTTCTCTCTGTCTCCCCCTTTCTAACTTTTCCCTCTGTGAAACAGGAGGGGTGGGAGAGGAAGAACCTCGCACCAAGTTTCCATGAAGCGAATTTCCATTTAGATGTTCTTCCTCTAGTACAAAATCAACACATTTGGCCAGAATGAACCCTCCTGTTTCCCCAAATCTCTTTGAAACCCCTCGATAACACTTTCCCAAATGAAAGTGGATGTAGATGAAGACAGTCTGTGGCTCGAGACAGACGTATTTTGCAGTGATTCTGATCATCTTAAGTGCTGCTAGTAATAGGAAGAACCTGGTTAAGGCAAAGGAGCAGCAGGATAACCATTACTCCCATCAGATCCTTATCTCTATTGCTGTCATTTACCGAAGCTGAGCTCCTTTGCCTGTTGTTTGGTGTAGACACACACATGTGGTCACAGCCCATGATCGACCAGGCTTTATGGGCAGGCAGAGGGTGGGAAGGGCAAAGGAAGAGCAGAAAGGAGGAGCGAGCAGCCCCATCATGGTGCAGGTTGGTTGAGTTGGACAAAATCCCTCATTGGGTGGTTTAAAGTCAATCTGGTGGCCAGTTTTCAAACAGCATATGCAAATAAAGAGCTCTCCCCATTTCCCAGTGTGAGTTCTTGCCAGGAAGGCAAGGTCTTATCAAGTGGGGGAAGTGACATGGGTCCTCCTTTCATGCTCCTACAAAAGACATACCAGGCAGCCTTCCAAGATCTGTCTGCGCCGTCAGTGCAAGGAGGGATCAGCAGTTATCTTGGCAGGTTTATTTTGCCATCTTTGTTCATGCTGCTTCTTCTTTTGTCCTTCCCTTTCTCAGATGGCTTTTCCTTCCTCTTCCATGTTCTTGCCCTGTGTTTCATCCTGCCTTTCCAGCTGCCTTTCCCAAACGTTTGTGCAGGTTTCCAATGGCTCCGTTATTGCGTGTCTCCTCTTCCTCTTCCAAGAGC